GGTAGCGTCACAGTGGAGCATGGCCACAACCCACCTGTGCACAAACCCGCTCCAGCCCTGCAGCTCCCAATATAGCCTTTATCTAAAACTATTAAAAACGTCCCTTCCTTGCACTCCCAGAATTCTTAATCAAGAACTCACGAGAGGGGCTTCCCTGGTGGCGCAGTGGTTAAGAATCCACCTGCCAGTGCAGGGGACATGGGTTCGAGCCCTGGTCCAGGAAGATCCCACATGCTGCAGAGCAACTAAGCTCGTGCGCCACAACTCCTGAGCCTGCGCTCTAGAGCCTGCGAGTCACAACTACTGAGCCCACGTGCCACAACTACTGAAGCCCGTGCGCCTAGAGCCCATGCTCCACAACAAAACAAGCCATCACGATGAGAAGCCCGTGCACTGCAACGAAGGGTAACCCCCGCTGGACACAGCTAGAGAAAGCCCGCACGCAGCAACGAAGACCCAATGCAGCCAAAAAATAAATAAATAAATTTATTTAAAAAAAGAAACTATAAATAGAAAAAGCTTCACGTAAATCTGGAAAAATGTTTGCGAAAAAGTGTTTAAGAACACTTTAAAAATGACTTACGTTATCCAGTTTGATCAGCAGCCCAGCCAGAGGGTTACATTTATAAACTCCTTGTAATGGTGTCAGTTTGACAACAGAGATCAAGAACTTTAAAAACGCAGTAAGCATTATAGTAATTCCATAAGTATAATAAAGATAAGTTGGGAATTTGGCTTTGGGTCAAAATGGATACTTGTTACTTACTTATACATCCTTAAGCCACTACAAAACCTGACAAAAGTTTTAAAGCAACAGTCTTCAGACATTAGACAGCAGGCAGTAGAGGGCTGTCATTCCTGAGAAGAGGAAACATACAAGTCTCTGCTTAGTACAGTTTCTAGGCTGACGCACAAGGACGTGGAGACCAGGCAGAGCGTAGTGGTCTGACCGAGTTGGGGAGACAGAGACCAGAGCTCGGGGCTGTGGAAGCTGCTGATACTGCAGGGTCAGCTGCTGTAGAGAAGGGAGCTGGGCAGAAACAGAGCTCCCAGCATTGCATGGAGTCCCCTTTATTCTTCGGTCAAATGGTAACAGCAGGTGCATAACAGAGAACGCCCCCCTTCCCCATGTCCTGGCAGAGAGGAGTTGCTGGGGAGCTGTGAGAAAAACGGAGATGCTGGCATCACACAGTCGTGGGAGACACGAATTCTGAGCAGCCAGAGTGGAGACACCTCGCTGACACCCTGGGAAAACACCTGGCACACCTGGTGGGGGTCACACCTCGGGAGAAGGGCTACCCAAGTCCTAGAGTGAGAGCCACTCTAGAACTGCCCCAACAAAGCTCAACAAACCTCAAAGGGATCTGCCTGATCTGCCAATAAACTGCCTTTTAGAGAAAAATATCGCAGCACTTGTTAAATAAAGGCCAAAGAAAATATAGACTCTCAAAAGGTAGCATCTGCAATTTGAATCATGCAGTAAAAAAAGTATTAGACATAGGAATAAATGGGAAAATATAAGTTGTACATAGAAAACAACTGGCAATAGAAACCAACCCTAAATAACACAGATGTTGGAAACTTCAGACAAGGATTTTTAGGAGCCATTATAAAAATATGTTCATGAATTTAGAGGAAAATACGATAATAATTTGATCAACTGATAAAAGTGTTTAGCCCATAACAATCAAGACAAAAAGGAAGAAAACACAAATTACCATATCAATGATGAAAAAGGAAAATATGGACACAACAGACATTAAAGTGGTAGAATATCATAAATAAGTATATGCCAAAAAATTCTACAACTTAGATTATTTGAAAAACACAATTTACCAAACTGACTCAACATGGAATTAGAAATATGAAGAATCTGATATGTAGGAAATTGAATTCTTTATCAGAAACATTCCCTCAAAGGAACTACAAATCCAGAGTCCTTTACTGGTGAATTCTATCAAACATTTAAGGAAAAAAACAATGTCAACTTTACCTAATTTTTTTTAGAAGACAAAAGAGGAAGAAGCACTTCATAACTCATTATATAAAGCCAGCAAAACCCTAATGCCAAAATCTGACAAAGATCTCATAGAATATCCACAGATGAGAAAAATTCTTCCCAATATATTAACAAACCCAATCCAAAAGAATCTGTGTCTATGTATGTAGGCACGTGTGTATGTGTTTATACATAGATAGTGGTAATGCATCATGACCAAGCGGATTTATCGCAAGAGAAACAATGGGTTGGCATTCAAACATCAATGTAGGTCATCATATGAGCAAAATAATGAAGGATAATCATTTGACCATCTCAATAGATGCTGAGAAAACATTTGACAAAACCAGTACTCTTTCAAAATGAACACTCACAGCAAACTGGTAATAGAAGAGAGCTTTTTCAATCTGGTAGAGATTATCAGCGAAAACTTTACGACTCACATCCTATTTAATGGTGAGTATTGGACACTTTCCTCCTATAATAGGGAACAAGGCATGATGTTTCTCTCACTACTTTTCCTCAACATTATACCGGAGGTCTTAACCAGTATCATAGGGCCAAAAAAAATGAAATAAAAGTCCTAAATATTGTTAAGGGAGAGGTGAAATTATCAGCTTACATGATTATTTATATAGGAATCAATGAACCACAACTAGAAATAATTAGTGAATTTAGAAAGAGACAAGGTCAATATTCAAAAATCAAGTGTCTTTATACTAGTTGCAAACAACTGAAAAATAACGTTCAGGAAACAATTCCATATACGATAGTGTCAATAACAAATAAATTTAGCAAATGATGTTCAATGAAAAACTACAAAATGTCACAAAGGGAAACTAAAGAAAATATTAAAGATGGAAAGATGTCTGTTTATGGATTGAAAATGTCAATGCATTAAGGTAGCAATTTTCTCAACAAATAAAGTTGAAACAAATGGTTGAGCACATGGAAGGAAATGAACTTTACTGATACCTCATATCATAAAAATCAATTTGAGGTGGATGATAGGTCTAAGTGTAAAGGCTAAACTACAAATCTTCTAGAGGAAAACACCTTTGTGAGTTGAAGGGAGGCAAAAATTTCTTATGACACAGAAAGCAGTAACCAGTAGTAAAAAGTCATTTCTCCTTTGGCATCCTTTGTGCCAGAGGATGTTCGTTATACAGATCAGTAGTTCACAAATAAGAGCGTTTTCAGCGTCCTGAGGATCACATCCATGAATACACAGCACACAGCTGGCAAAGAGCTCGGCGTGTGGGTGAGAATGAGAGGTCTGTGCTCTGAGAGGTCTGAAGATAAGTCAGAGGAAAAGTGGGTTATAAATAAGACTTGAGAGCCATACGAGCTACCCAGAGTAGGGGGAATATTGGTCCATGCCATCAAGGACCCTCTTGGTTGCCCAGAAATAAGTGTCTTTTTCAACTCCATTCCCATCCAACAGGTGTCTCTTCCATTCATTCCTCTGATAATAGTCTCTCATTCCTCCTCAGGCATAGATTCTGCTCCCAGATGATTTCTGCTTCTTCTCTCCTTGCCGTGCATCTCCAAACTGCTCCTGTAGGACTCCACTGGACCTGAGTCCTCTGTTCTCTCAACTGTTGTGACCCCCCCAATAATAGGTTATATTCAGCTCTCAAATCTCTCTTCTGCTCAAATCGCTGCCTACAGCAGGGGGCAGCAAAACGGTACATTCAAGAATTGCAAATGAGTGCCCTTATATTTTACCATTAAGGACAAACCCAAAATGAGGATCTTTATTTTAATTACCCTGTCTGTGTTCATTGAACCCCAGGATAAGCAATTTACTGGAATAAATTCACCGTTCTATTGGTATGATTAATGGAGACCTCTACCAGAAAGAGAGAGAAGGGAGAGAACACTGGACTAGATCATATGGAAGGATGCACTGGCTGAAAATGCGCTTGGGTACTCCTAAATAAATCAGGAACTCTGCAAAATAACACAGGAGAGAGAGAAGCCAAGTGGGGATAAACGAGAGAGGCCATGAGTTGGTAATTACTGAAGCCAGGTAATGTGGGAACATGGAAGCTCATTATACGATTACATCTACTTGGAGTATGTTAGAAATTTTCATAATCAAAAGGAAAAATATTTTTAAAAAGGCTTTCCCAATGTGAGGTGTAGCAGGATTGATTGGGGTGGAGCCAGGACAAGCACAAGTGGCAAACAATGTTTGCTTATTACATCACAAAGGGTTTCATGCCGTTGTTGTTTAACTGTGTTATTATTTGTAATTTGTTGCCTTGAAATACCGAACACTTTCCTCCTAAAATCAGGAACAATTTATGTTATGCTAAAATTACCTGTCTTTAAGGAACCACTTACAGTTAATTCAAGATATGAGTGAAGGTGTTAATATTTCTTTGAAATCCATACACACATTAAATGAATATCTTCCTGCAGTGAGCCAATGCTTTCAGTAAAGATCTGCATCTTGAAAACATTGACCAAAAAGGCAGCAGCCATTAAAGAACAGTGTCAATTTGGAACAAAGTTATAGTGTTGCCCTTCTTTTAAAAAAAATCTCAAATTTTGCAGTGCATATGTTCAAATTGCATAGCTTATCTAGACCTGAGTTAGAAAAATAAATAAATAAGTGCAGAAAAAATAGACATGTGACAGTGTCACAACCTTCCAATGAGACTGGACTCCTTTTATTTGAGAGGGTTCTGAATTTTCCCTGTGGCGTAGCCAATTGGGAGGATGACGCTTCCTTGAATGACTGAAGTAGATAAGGTCTGAGAAGAGGGAGAGAGACTTCTCTCTGATAGATGGCAGAGAAGCAGCAGGAAAAGAGGAGGGAGTAAGGGTTTCAGCATCTGCTGGTGGATATACACTAAGCTAAAGCACCACCCGCCTAAGGAGTAAGGGAGTGAAACAGGTTAGACCCTTGGGGGATGTGGTGGGAAGGGGTGTGGCTGCATCTTTCTCCAAAACCCACTAAGTTGGGAGGGATAATGACATCACTGACTGAATCCTTGCAATTTCCTATTTCCGTGTCCTGTTCCCCCAACACTCAAAGCTAAGACCATCTTCTTCCTGCCTCTCGTCACCATGGGCTCCATGCTCCTCTGCTGTGTGGTCTTTTGTCTCCTGGGAACAGGTGAGTTTAGGAAACATGGGGAATCCCTGCTTTAAATTTTCCAGGTCGTGGCCAAAGCTTCTCCCTGAAGACTGTGGCAAGGACCCTTCCTAGGTTCTGTCTCCAGTTTTTGTCTTGTTTCCTCACAGGCTCCATGGATGTTGGTATTACCCAGACTCCAAGGAATAGGATAGCAAACACAGGAAAGAGCACTGTACTGGAATGTTCTCAGACTAAGGGTCATGAGTCTATGTACTGGTACCGACAAGACCCAGGACTGGGGCTCCGGCAGATCTACTACTCCCACGGTGTCGATGATATTAACAAAGGAGATGTCTCCGATGGGTACAGAGTCTCTCGTAAGGAGCAGGCGAAGTTCTCCCTCTTCCTAGAGCCCGCCACCCCCAACCAGACAGCCCTTTACTTCTGTGCCAGCAGTATTTGCACAGTGCTTCCTGGCCACCTGCTCTCTACACAGAAAGACAGGCACCTTTGCTCATAAGGGCACAGAGTCTTCCTAGATGTGGGATGTGGGATCCTTCGAGGTCGTTCTATGCTGTGTGAGCCTCAGTCTGAACTTAGGGCCACCTTGGGTCAGTGTCCCCAGGCCATGGGATGACTCCGAAACCACAAGCTAGACTGAACCTACCTCCCCTGCCTACTGACCCTCTTTATCTATTCTAGTGGGGCTAGCCCAATATTGTCCTCCCAGGAGAAGGAACCTGAGCATTTGGGAACACCATCATGATTTGCAATAAAAGCATTTCTTATTAGCGCATCCACAGTGTGGCTTTTAATGGTCCTTTGGCCTCTGTCTCCACCCGCCTTGCAATATCTCCATCCATTCTGTTCCTGCTGATGTCACCTTTATCCTGCCAGCCCCCTCCCGTCCCAGTCCTTCCAAGTTCTACTGTTTAGCTCTGTAGTTGGTTGCCTTTATACCAAAAACAAACTACCTTGTTTTCTAAAACTTCATTCTAAGTAAATTTAATCACCATGAAATCTGACTCAGAAGGTGAAATTCAAGTACGAGAGGCTGTGATCTATAAAAGTTATCTTACATCTACAGCCCGACACTTGGATCTCTACCGAGATCAATCTTAACCTGCAGGAACAGATAGACTTGCTTCATGTTCTGGATATACTGAACTCCAAAACATTTGCCTGCTGTCCAGCATAGAACCAAAGCTAGGAGCTTGGAGATTCCCTTTTCTCTCAAGGCATTGGGAAATAACCCTGACTGCCCTGCAGGGAGGGTCCTCCTAGGAGCCAGTGAACTCTAGACACAAAAATACTTAATCAAGGGCTGCAAACATGGTGCAAAAGTCGGCCTGAGAATCAGGTTGAAGCCTTCCTCATGTGCTTTGTCTTCTTAACTCATAAACCTTGATAATTTCCACAGGAGAATCCATAGGACCTGGTGACAGTTCAGATACAAAGAACCCAATGTCTTTCATTTTCTACCTGTTCTAATTGGAAAAAAGTCACTTCTTTTTTTCCTGTCTCCTTCATGAGTTCTATCTCATCTGCTATCCCTTTAAAAAATCCATTTTCTGTGGAGTTTTGTTGCCGGGTTTTCTATGCACACCTTATCAGCAGTCTCATCTGTAACAATAATTCTTCCCTCATGAGCTGATAACTGTTCCATTTACTTGTCTACTAGACATTTTTAGTAGATTTCCCTAGACTTTTCTTCTGCCTTCTTTTTTTCCTCAGTATAAATATTCTTCCTTAACCTTCCCATCCAGGATGATGACAATTTCTTTCATTAGTTCTAACTGGTAAATTCAGGCTTCTGCTGGACACTTCCAGCTCGATGCTCCACAATTCAAACTCAAGGGATTTATTGCTGAATTTATTGCCTCGCCACCCCCACCTGCATCCATTCTGGCCCATATACTGTGTTTCCATCTCAGTGACCTGAATGATGGTTGTAAGTTCCTCTTTCCCATTAGTCCTCACATGAACTCCATTTATAAATCTATTACTTCTATATTGCACATTGTCATAGATCTGCTTTCCTGGTAAATGGTCTGTGCAGGGGACATTAGTGTACAGAAGGGTTATTAGAAAGTGCCCTTATGATCCACATGGATACAAGGGAAAAGAAGGAAGTCGGAAGAGAAAGAGGGGATGTGGGTCTGTCTTGCAGCCTCAACAAAGGCCTAAGCTGAGTCCACAGGGAGCTGGGAAGCTGGGGTGGCCCTTACCATCATCCGAAGTTGAGGTGAGGGGGCCAGGTCTTATGCCCACTTTACCGCAGCCGTGTCATTGGACATGGTGGCCCTGAGAAAGGGCATATGCCCTTGGGGGGAAGAGGTGCCTCTTTAGCCGAGACAATTCACAAGGAGGGCCGTCAGCCAGCGGCACTCCTAGCAATGGGGGGAAACGTCCTTCATGCCTAAAGGGAGAGACACAGTCTCTGATATACAAGTTTATCTGGTTGAGCTGCTCCTTTCCTTCCTCGTTGCTTCTATGTCACGCAGGCCCTCATTACCTGTTACCTAGAAGAAAGGCAACGCCCTTCTCACTGCTCCACCAGCCTCTTACTGCTTCTACTTTCTTCTGACCTGGACATTCCTACCAGCTTGATTGAGCCTGGCACACAAAGCCCTTCACAGACACGTCTCTGTCTAGAAATATATCCAGGTCTTCCAAAGCCACTCGAGCACTACAGGATCCAGCTCTACTGAACGTTTTGTATTTCCCTGAACGGACCAAGCCACACTGCACAGCTGTACCTTCGCCAGCGCTCTCTCCCCTACCTGAAATGGGTGACCACTGCTTGCCCGCCTGGCTCACTCTTGAGCACCCCTTCATTCTGAGCTCAGAGGTTAGCTTAAAGGCTCTTCTGACTCCTACAGACAGAGAAGACTTAGCTCCTATTCATCCCCAAACTACTATAGTTAGTGTATTCTTTCATAATTCCTTCTCATTCTTCCCAAGATTCCATATTCTTTCATTTGAGAGTGATGTCCCTCCAATTATATATCCCTAGACTGAGTACAATGTTTCACTTAGTGAAGAAAAGATATAAGAAAGGGAGGACGGGGGTTTCCCTGTGGCGCAGTGGTGGAGAGTCCGCCTGCCGATAGCGACACGGGTTCGTGCCCCGGTCTGGGAAGATCCCACATGCCGCGGAGCGGCATTCTCAGAAATTCTGCTGAGAATTTCTACATGTCAACATTTGAGGATACAGGAATCATCAGAGATAACTGTTACATACATCTCTATACATTTTTCATCCAGTAAAAGCAGCCTCTCTCATTTTCCAGTCTTCTTATATAATTCTGCTTAAAAGGACTTATAGGTCAAGGGGTGTAGAGGACTTAAATACACACGCACTGGAACTCAGAAAACATGTTACTTGGAAGAAAATCCTGAAGAGCTACTTGAGACATATTTGAGTCTATTTTCCTTTCCTCTCTTCTTCCCTCCCTCCCGTCCTCCCCCCTCCTTTTTTTTTTTTTTTTTTTTTTGCGGTACGCGGGCCTCTCACTGTTGTGGCCTCTCCCGTTGCGGAGCACAGGCTCCGGACGCGCAGGCTCAGCGGCCATGGATCACGGGCCCAGCCGCTCTGCGGCATGTGGGATCTTCCCGGACCGGGACACGAACCCGTGTCCCCTGCATCGGCAGGCAGACTCTCAACCACTGTGCCACCAGGGAAGCCCCCTCAATAAATATTTATTCACTAAATAAATGAAAGATTCAAATATGCTTTATGGAATTGACCCTGAATTTGTGCCCCACTATCATCTATTCACCCACCCAAATTATTTATTTGCTCAAAATCTCTCATGTCTCAGGTCTCATCCTCCTTCCCAGATAAACAAAGGCCCTGTTGCAAAGCAGCTTAAAATGGGAGGCTGATGAAGAGACCGCTGTGGAAAAGGCTGAAAAAGAAGCATGGAAATAAAAACAATATTGTTATTCTGGTGACTCCAGTTTGAAGTACAGATAACTCCAGAATTGGCCCATTTCTGTAAATGTCACACCTCCACAGGTTCAGGGATAGAATCTTCCATCAGGGGACTCCACAGTGATCCCTGGGCTCCACTGGGAGCTACTCTCCAGGGAGAGTCCCCTCCCTGACACTGAGTGGGCCATCATAGTGGCAGGAATCAACTTCATGGTACTATTGAGAGGAAAGAAAGAAGGTGTGACAAAGGGGCACAGGAAGTAACCCCCTGAGGGACTTTCAATTTGGAATTGGTTCTCTTTATAACCAGCAGAGAGTAGCCCGCTCACTTTTCCCATCCCATACCCCAACCTCAAGTGACTTCACTGTATACTAGGCATTGTTGTAACCACTTAACATATAAACTTATTTAATCCCCACAGCAACACTATAAGGTACATACTTTTATTAGCGCAAATTACAGATAGTAAAATTGAGGCCCAAACAGTTCATTTACTTGCTCAGGATGACAGTAGGTGACAGAACCAGTATTCAAATCCAGGCAGTCTCTCTCTAGAACCTTCCATGCTATCGACTAACCTCGTGGCAACGGTAGTTATTAAGAAATGTCATGGATGAAGAAAGAAGTCTGAGTCAGAAAGAACGCAAAGGAATAGCATGTATTAACCCCAAAGAGCAATTGTTTTTCCTAATCTGAATTGATCAGGAAAGTCCAATGTCTGGTGGTGCTCTGTGAAGGGAAGAAAAGATTCCATCTCTGTAGATGTGGAGCTCTGCGTGTGGGCAGAGACAGTGACATCACAGGCAAACAGCCAATAGGCTGTCTACAGTTGGAAAAAGACCTGTTCCTTCTCCCATCCCACGGTGAGTGTCGGGCTTCTGTGGGGAATGGCCTTTTTGTCTTTTGGAAATGGATGAGACCTTGGAGCACAAGGAAAAGTCAGATTCTGGGATTTCTAGGCTCCAGCACAGGGTTTTTTGTTTTTGTTTTTGTTCATGGCTCAAATGTTGGGCCTCCTGGTGGACACTGCTTGTAACTTCTGCATCCTTCTCCCACAGGTCGCCTGGATGTTAGCATAATCCAGAACCTAGATATCTAGAGAAGAACAGAGGGGGAAGCCTTTTTGGAATGTCTTTCAGAATGTTCTGGTATGACCAAGACCCAACATTGGGGCTACAGCTGATCCAGTTTTCACTTGCTGCTGACAGCACCGGAAAAGTTTCCCCGATGAGCGCAGTGTCTCCCAGAGGAAGGAGGGTTTCTTCCTGGCCTTGGAGACATCATCACACTTCTGTGCTCGCAGTTTATCCACAGCAATTCACTGCCACATCCTCAGGAGACCTAGAATTAAAACAAAAAAAACTTCCTAGAAATAATATTAAACAGCACAGAGCCAAATCAATGACATTTGAGCTTCAGTTCATCTGTGGCGACTAACATCCCACAATTTCCCTAAAATGCTTTTCTTCCCAAAGTGCTCCTTTATTCAGAGCAGTTACGAGATCACTCAAGAGGGAGAGGCTGCTGGAAGTCCTTACATCAGCATTTGTCCACACCCAGTTCTAACGGGTGGAACCTCTGG